CATCTTGTTTTTGAGAATCGAGTTTCGCCTGTTAATCGACGCTAAACGACACTGAACGATGAGCCATCAATCGAATTCCGGGGGCACGTATCATAATGTACCTACACCACACGTACACGCAGCCGGCTCTCCTCTTTCGTGGGCACAGCCGAGCGTGAAATTGATTTTCGAAAGGAAGAGAGAGAGTGCCGTACGTGGCGGCGCTTCCGCAGGGAAATCGAATGTGAAAGGCGGTGATGAAAATTTATGTATACGTACACACCTTCCACTATTCGTCGTACTCGCCTTGTATAAGATTTGATTTATATTTCGAGTGGTTTGGTGCTTGGTAAAAAAAAAAAAAAAAAATGAAAAAAATTACAGCACCAGAGTAGTACTTTCAATGCACCTTACAAGTTTGGTATGTACTTACGCGGACGAACAATTGATAAGTGCCGTTACAGCAATACATTTGGCGCAACACCTTGCGACTCCAAATACCTGTATGGGTACCCCATCAGAGGCTGTACAACAATAGCACAGCTCACCAACTGGTGCATCTCGTTATGTTACATAGAGCTCGTACAACGAGTTATGGACGCCCACTTTCATGTCAACTTACTCTTTGTAAGTAACACACGAGACCGAGAAGGAGGAGACAAAAAATTGAATAAATTTTAATGAGAGAAACCACACCCGTTATACATCGTCGTACAACAGCCAGATGTGGAGAGCAAAAAAAAAAAAAAAAAAGAAAAGAAAAAAAGTCAATCCCAAGGACCGCATCAACGCTCTCTCTCCAACAGTCCCCGCAAGATTTGATTTTCAACCCCATTGACGTTGCAGACATCACCCTTTGAGGCCACTACCTACTGCTGTAGACGATGCGAGCACTGGCGCATACAGGGGCAAAGCAGTCCCTGAGGATCTCCCCGGGAGAAGGTACATCCCACCCCCTCGAATCGACCGATGGAGAGGGAGAAAAGCGATCGACGGCTACTACTTGCGGGAGCGCCTTTCATTAGGTTACGCGTTACGAGAAGCAGCCAGTCTAGTTTCTCTTTGTCTAAGAGCCAGGCCATCTGTCACCCCCTCTTGTGTACAATATGCGCTCGAACGCCACGATTTTTTTTTTTTTTTTCCTTTCTTTATCTCGATTTCTTTCTTCGTCCACCCCCTCGGTCCCTTTTCTCGATTACTTTTACTTCGACGTTCATGGGCACGCACTTGATGGGCTGTACAGGAGCCTATAAGAAGTCAGATGCCGCCTTGGCGTGAATTGGTTACAATATTAATGGGTCCCATGTAGGGAAATGGGAAATGGGCCTCAGGTGAGCTTAAATCAAATTGATAGAGAAACCTTTTTTTTTTTCCAACAAGGTAGTACCGAAAACTGTAAACAAACTCGAATTCGCGTCCCTTGCGAGATTGGAACCCGAAACCAGACGTAGAATCGGGTAGGGAGAAAAGCCACCCTCGTCCCAAGACACCAGAGTCTTTTGCGCCTCTTCGTGGTCAATAACCCAATAGCCCTATAATACACGGGGCAGAAAGTCGCGTGCGCTAATGTGCGGGATGCGGTGAGATTGCGAGAGATTAGATATCATCGCCGCGGTGAGATATGAAAGACAGATAACGCTATCTATAAATATACATCCGCACGCATCGGGTATCGATTTATTTTCGTTCTTTGCTTTTTCTCCTCCCTCATCTACAGTCTATTCTTGACTTGTGCACAGTCTTTTTACACGTTATACTCATGCAAAGATGCACTCGCCGATCTTACGTATACACGAGGTGCACTAGCGTATAGTTGGTGACGTCATGCTTTTCCAATTTTTTTTTTTTCCCACTCGATGATCGTTTGCGTGTTCGTATATTATAGTCTTTCGATCGATCGTTGCCAGGAATATTTATATCGCATGATGCAAGCTCGATTGATGGAACTTGCCATACATGACGTTGAGTTTAAGCAAGTGCATCAGGTACGATGAATAGAAAAAAAAAAAAATAAATCTTCGTGCACGCGACACGTCACAAATCACAGAGGACAGATTTTTTTTTTTTTTATAACTATGTCTAATACCATAGTCCCCAGTGCGTTGCCCGAACATGAGTGTAATCAAATTCCATGGAGCGTTGCGGGCCCCCGTACGCATCACCTACACATGGTACACTCGTACCGACTCGCGTGTGTTTACGCAAAATTACTGCTAGTCCAATCGTCGTGATTGCGTAGTACCATACCCCGCTGGTGCGATATATAGATATGCGTATATTTGGAGCCTCCGATTGTCGGGAGCTCCGAGCGCTTGACCATATCTCTGCCCCCGCCACCACCCTTTCCCGATTTCCCATCCCTTTTCTCCCCGTGCACGGTCACATGGAGCACCACAGAGCTGCCCCGAGTGATTAGAAGTTGCGCCGCTGGGGCTCGATCGCCGGGCAAATGTTTATTTTAGAATCGATGGGTTATTTGCTCTGGTCACCGGTGCCTCGGCTGTTTTATCGCTCGTTACCACGCACCCGTGGGAATTGAAAAAAAAAAAAGAAGGAAAAAAAATAAAAGGAATGCGTGATGATTGCACATATTGTATTAACGACCCCTCTTTTTGTGGGATATTCGCGGTGGTTTTTTGGGTTTTCGCGCTACTTTCTTTATCTTTAACGTCATCAGCTTTAATTAGTCGTGAAAATACATCGTTGATGAGATAAAGAAAGGACGGACAGTCGTCGAAAATCCAGGGTCGCTCTATTTGGGGGGGGGGGGGGATTACGAGTCGTCATTATTTCACGCCGGTGATAATCAGGGTCGGCTAATAGAGTCCTCATTTCACCCCCCCCTCCGCGCAAAGCTCCTCCGTCGAAACGAGAGTTGGGTCCGGAATCCGCGTCGCGGGATTATACGGATCCACCCGTAACCCACCTCCTGTACACCTTTTGCCCGCGAAACGCTCGGCCATTGTTAATTACCCGCGTGTGTGACGCTCGCCCCGTGCAATAATCAAGTTTAGCTTTATAATTCGCTGCGGCGGAACGAGGGACTCTGCCATAGGGATGACGCGTGCGTATAGGCTATATGATATCCGTTCGGTGATTGCGCGATGCTCATAATCGGCACGTACCTTTCTTTTTCTCTTTTTTTTTTTTTTTTTTTTTTTTTTTGCGGTCACCCAAACACGATTTTGCACACCAAGAGAGAAACGGGTAATACAGACGCGTTGACGAACCCGATGCGTTTTAATGGATGCGTCCGAGTACAGCCGGGTAATTAACAGCGGTTTAAATACTTGTTTTTCGAAAATTACCACAACGCGGTATGGATGGGTATACATACATACATACTTTGCTGCGTGTCGTATACAAATACACAAAAGTGTATACATATGGGGTGTGGGTAACCGATTCGTAATTTCCACGACTCAATGGCCTATTTGTTGGTCAGCGCTGTTTTATTGGTAAATATACAACATTTGGCAACACCCACGTATTTATTCTCACACCCACCAAACGAGCAATCGGCATAAAAACGTTTTAACATTCAATCGGCGAGAATGTTTGCCGAAATTATCGAAATCCATTACCGTAACACGATCGTTACCTGTATCCTCCAATAAATATCGAAGAAAGAGGGAGAGGGAGTCGCGGGCCGATTGAGTTTTTCCAAGTACCCACGGCTAACTGCAGCGGCAAGAGATAGGGGGTAGGAAGTGGCAGTATACAGTCCAACTTGCATCGGAGATTGCGAGTCGGCAACTTGTGCTAATACCAGGGGGTGAAACGTACACGTATACAGATACCAGGGGTAGGTGGACGGGAGAGTGTAGGCAATCCTGGGCCAAAGAGAAGGAGGAAGAAGACGCTCGCGCGTAGCTAATACATCACAAACTTGGGAGGGGGGCGAACAATGAGGAGCTCCGGAGCTCAGTGAATCCTCCCCGAGCCGGTGGGGGCATCCCGACGTACAGCCCGGCTCCCGCAAACTTTGCCTATTTGTTAAGTCTTGCCGAGCGAAACTGTCTCTCGGATATTATGTGTGTAGCCCCACGCAAAAGTAGCCCGTGACACTAACTGCCCCTACACGTACAGATAGCGTCGTCCAAGACCCCGCGCGCGTGCACTCGGAGAAACAACGACTGTGTACAGCTGCACCCATACAATACTCGCTCCGTCCCCGGTCGGTCGGTCTTAGAGGCTCCAAGGCGCCGTGAATGCAAAAGCTGCAAGGGCTCACGACAAGGCCGCACTTTTTTTCTATGACGCTCCATCGGTTATTACTGTTGGTGAATGTCGGCCAAGGTGGGGCTTATATAAGTATATAGAGTAAGGGGTGAGATAAAAAGGGATGCATCGAGGCTACTTTAGTATATAGGTGTAGGTGTGATCGAAGTTTGGAGCGTCTCGTATATACCCCAGCGTTTCGTTCGTCTGCCCATATCGCCCCTACTGGTATGTATAGGTGTATACAGTGGAAGTTTGAGCGACAAGCACGTACACGCGCACACATCACAGGCAGTGCTGACGTACGTATACACGTAGGTGCATCTTTTCGCACTCGCTGACGCGAAAAATGGAAGAAAAAGACAGTTGTCGCGCACGGGGGACATGCAACTACACGCGGTAGAGGCAAACCTCGCTCCGATGACAGTATCGCCTTGGGCGGACCTGACTATGTGCCTGACTGATGCTGCTCACGTATACGGATGCATCGACTTGGGCCTGTACATATCCAATCCATTCCTCGGCTCCTGCTCTTCTCTTTTAGTGATGCTTTTTTTTGCCTTCCTTTTTTCCCAACTCCTTTTTTTTTTTTGCTTTTTTTCGCTCGTCACGACGCGAATCGAATGGCGTATTTTTAAGTGTCACCGATTTCGTGGAAGCGACGCGAGACGGATTGCTTTTCTTCCCTCCCGAATCTGGTGATGTAAAAAAAAAAAAAAAAAAAAATCCTATAAGAACAAACACTGCATTAAACGTGCACCATAAGCCATTAAACGTGAAACTGCTTCTTTCTGTTTCAGGGACTCGCATCTCACGCATCGCCACGACTTGCGCTCACCGTAAGTACAACACACGACAAAAGTCTCGTATATATTTTTTTTTGAAACCCCACCCGCAGTTGCACATCATCCGTCCCGTACCCTCATGGGTATATTATATACATGTAACGTACACGCACCACAAAACGCACAACCAAGCGAGCGGCCTTAAATTCAGCGTGCACGCAAATCCAAGGGGGGTGGGGGTAAAAGAAACACATCGAGCATCTGATAACGCGCCCGTACCCTCTTTTTTATGCAACTGCAGCTCTAACGAGGGTAAAAACTTTAGACGACACACATTTCTCCTCTCTCGGTGGAAGGAAGAGAGAGAAAAGGGGTTGGGGGGGGGGGTGGAAAAAAGAAAAAAACACACGTAACGTGGGGATGTTGGCGAAAAATTCATGCGGAAAATGGACTGTGAGCCACTGCTGCCTAGCGTTAAAAGAAAGAGTCCGCGAAGCAAAGAATAGAGAAAGGGGCTCTCGTGCACGTATTATACATGCATTATACGTATGCGGTGTGCATGTACTGTGTTGTTGGTGCTCGGCATGAGCAAAAGACTCGAAGAAGCGAAAAAAAAAATTCAAAAGGAATCGAAGCATGCATCGTATTGCTCTCTCCCTCTCCCATACGTACGTAGGTATAGGGTTGTATATGCACGCGGAAACGAGAGGAGCAAGAGGGGGGGGAGGTGAAAAGAGTCGACAATGCAGTCGTCACCGCCGTCGTTGTCGTATTCCTCGCTCTAAGGTACATAATCATGCTTGCTGATTCCTTCCCTAATAAAAGTCTCACTGTCACCGTTCGCTCGCTCGCTCGCTCGCTCGTTCGTTAGCCGCCTCCCCCCAGCCCCTCCTGCCCTGCCAGTCTTCCTGCATCCGCGATTTCACAAAAGCGTCCCTTATCTCTCTTTCTCTCGCGTGCACATATATACCTACTCGTCTTCGGCTGGATAGAGAGAGAGAAAGTGCAGCACATGCCTGCAGCTAAACCACCGCCCGGCGTTGCAGCTACCACCACCCACGCGGTGAGCGAAACCCTTCCTTCTTTTCTCTGTTCCTGCAGACTATGGTTACGTGCTGCGCGAGTTCGCGTGTATATACTATACCTACCGCTTCACGTGCATGTGTACATGTGCACGAGCGTCGGATAAGACAAAGAGGAGCCGAGAATTACAAGGGATACGGGTCAGAAATGCTTGGCGATGCACCATCTGGGATTGCACTTTTTTTTAATTTCCCAACCCCCTCCCCCCACCCTTACTTCCTCCTCCTCCTCCTCCTCCTCCTCTGATGTGTATACTTTCTCTCTCTCTCTCTCTATCGGCTCCCTGGCTTCTTTTTTTTCGTGTCTACTGTTGCTCCTCGATGATTCGACTGTATTTATTATGTCCGTGAGCAAGAAAGAAAGAAGAGCTGAATCCATGACGGATGAGCCGAAAGCTCAACAAATTGGTTGCACAATTAAAATGTAAAAAACGAATTCATGAATTGTTTATACCTTTTTTATGACATATTGAGCTCGAGGCTGAGTCGGAACTCTGTAATGAAAATTCTCCCACAACGATGTAATGATCCAATTCATTCGGCATCCTTCGACTCCGCGCACGGTAGACAAGAAAAAGAAAGAAAGAAAGAAAAAAAAAAAAAAAAAAAAAAAGTCAAAGCCAACGAGCCGCGGAAACATTTTCATAACACGCGTAATGCATCCCCGGAGCACAAATCGCTCGAGCGTCAATCATCATAATGTAAGTCGATCCCAACACAATGGGGGGTGCCCGTCGTGGGGCGTTACGTGCCTCCCTGAAAGGGAATCTCGATGGTGCAACAACAACAGGAGCCAGCGTCAAAAACGGAAGCAACGTTTTCCTCCTCCTCTTCAGATGAACGAGACACGGCACCTTGGACCAATAATAATCGCAATAAAAACACGCGCAATCATAAGTATATAGATGCACCGCAACGACACAAGATATACACCCTCGAGATGTTGCACTGTGTGTACATTATACGGGATACATATATAATAATATATTAACTCGGTGCATCCTCCTCCCATTAGTTTGGCTTCGTTATTGTATAGCCACGAAGAAAACGAGTATCGAATAACGCCTATATATTTACCCATACGGCCACTCGCCCTCTCGGCAAGAAAAAGGTCGATGGCACGCAAACGTATACGCGAGTCTGTGTGTGCTCCATTCAAAATGCCGAGGCTTATTTCTTTATATATAGATACCAATACCCCTGTACCGGCAAGACAGCAGAGAGGGAGTGCAGGTATATACATCGGCGTGTGGCTGCTTACGAGGTCTTTAAAGGGACCTCGAGGGTCCTTGGCCCACAGACGGCAGGTCTCAAGGTGCGCGTTAAAAGGTCCTTTCCCTCTCAGCTCGGGATGAAAAGGAAAAAACCGCAGCCACGGTGGCAGATGGCGCGCTCCCAAAGTCGCCCACGCGGCCCCTGAGGTATACGTAGGTATGTGCGCGCGTGTCCCGGAAATGAGCGCGAGAATAACCCTCGAAAAAGTGGAATGGCGTTTCTCTCTCTCTCTCTCTCTCTCTTCGAGATAGATCCGGAGGAATGATCGTGAAGGGCGCGATAATAAGGTATCGAGATGCGGAGGCACCGCGCCTGGCATATGTTCGGGAGCGCATTTTTTACATGCGCGCATTGTGCGCGTGCACCGCTACACAAGCTCCCGCACTTTTCGTTTTCCTTTATTTTCTCGCCCCCGCGGGAAGATGCATCACAGCTTGCCAACGGGACCATCATCCGTTTGGGTTGCCTTCAATCTGCACCGTTAGCCGATGCTCGGGCCTATTATATGCCACGGAAAACACCCATACAACACACGTGTATATATATATAAGCTGCACAAAGTATAGGAGAGAGAAGGAAAAGAATTTAGGTGCGCGCGTGGAAGAAAGTACGAAGCGGCTCTTATACCCTCCTTTCTAGCTTTTTTTTTTTTTTTTTTTTTCTTCCGGTGGTGGAAAAAAAAAAAAAAAAAAAAAAAAAAAAAAGAAAAAAGGTGTATAGGGCGCGTTGATTGATATTGCCCCGTTATCTCCGAGCGATGTTCGAAGGCGAAAAAAAGGCCAAAAGTGCGGCAGAGGACGTGGAGGCGATGGAAGGGGATGGGCGTCTTTCTCCGTCTGGCAGCAGCGGAGGACAGATAGGACNTTTTTTTCTTCTCCAAGTAACTATATTCTCCAATATTAACTTGATTACTCCGTACGAGCGAAATATGAATACACGAAGGCAAAAACGTTATTTTCATAAAAACATTGATTCAGTGTATGTAGGTACGCGTCAATCATAGTAATAATGTAACTAATCCATTTGGGGATAAAGATGTCATTAAAAGGTTTTTTTTAGATTTTTTTTAAGGAGTAACGAGCTTGACCTAATATTCTTCCAGTCATGAAAAAAACCATCGTTAAAACCTGTGTCAACCTCTCATTTAGTGCTGTCCGTTGGCAGTAAAACTTTTCAAACAGCCGGTAAATACAGTCCTATTACGTCTTACGCGACAATAAGCCGTCTCATTGTCGGGGATGATCCGATTCGTCTCTCGTGGTTACAGGAAAAAAAAAAAAAAAAAAGAAAAGAAAAAAAGGTCCCGAGGTTTAAAGTCAACTTTTCCCGAACCAACAATTGTCACTTGGAGCTGCTCGCCGTACGTCGTATACACCTATTATACATTGCGTTCGAGAAGGGAAAGTAGAGGGAGGGCGCGCCGGCATTGTGTCGTACACGAGTCCACCTCCGCTCTACATTTGTGTGGATGGTTTATTTTTTTTCCTTTTGAGGTTCCCGAAAAGACGCGGATATATTTCCTGCTGGGCATTTTTCAGAGGGACTCGACAAATTGGCCAGTCGGTCAGCCTCCGCGAGGGGGCATTTTAACACCTTGTACGACACCTTTTTTTTGCCCCCGAGGTGCGCTTATCGCATGCTGTGACGACTTCTTTAGGGACTAGGGGGGGGCTTGTCGGCTATTGTCGATCGGCAGCTGAGGGATTTGCTCTTTTCAACACATTCGCCTCGACGATCCGACGCTGCGTGCCATTTTGGGACATTTGTATCTTTCGCGCTCCCATTCGCGTCGGCGCTCACTACATTCTTTGAAAACTGTATGTATATCCATAGAAACGCCAAGTTCTATGTTTGCGAATATACTCGATCACCGCGGAAACAATGTGAAACGCACGTGACTCTCGTCATTGCGCTCCAATTGTGACGGCTGTGCGCACGAGGTGTACACCAGGTATAAGATCGAAGGGGCAGGGGGACGCGTGGTCCGCGCATTATTCTTGCGAAAGGCCCAGAGTAGCGCGTATACAATGCACCCTCTCCCTCTTTTGCGCTTTCTTGTTTCGCGTAACCATATATATTATTATTATATGGTTCTGCATCCACGCGCTGCTGTGGATTACAAGTACACATATAGCGTAAATATACATACATGTATATGGACGTCTGAGAGGATATAAAGGGGTCACGGGGGGAAATAATGGAGGAGGAGAACAAATAAAAACAGAGAGAGAAAAGCACGCGCTCGTTCTTTGCTCGTGTCTGTCATGCAGGCACTAAACTCGTCGAGAACGAATGCTAAAGAGAGAGAGAGAGAGAGAGAAGTGCGGAGAAGAGAAAAAGACGTTTTAACGGTGGGTGTGTGCATACATTGGGGGTCTATATACATGCGACAGAGTCAGTGGTCGGAAAGGATCGAGTTGACTCGTACAATATGGGCACATGTGGATATCCATCGAAGCTTTGTCCTCTTGCAAAGAGACGGTTTTTCGAAAATTTAAAGGATATGGTATTATGATTACCCTCCATCGTTTATTTTAATTCGTAAAAATTGAAAAATATCTAGAAATTTATCTAAACGCCATACGTGCACATATGAATTAGGATTACCTGTGTACGTGACAGTTTCGGTGCGAGCAAAATAATAAGCATAAATTAATAGCGCGGACGAAACTGCTGCGGCAAAAAGCGAGAAACTGA